TGGTGATAAATGGGGCCGAGTCCAGTTGGAGGCCTGTGGCCAGTGGTGTCCCCGAGGGGTCAGTACTGGGCCCAGTGCTGTTCAACTTGTTTATCAATGACCYGGACGAGGGCACGGARTGCACCCTGAGCAAGTTTGCRGATGACACCAAGCTGGGTGGAGTGGCCGACACTCCGGAGGGCTGTGCTGTCATCCAGAGGGACCTGGACAGGCTGGAGAGTTGGGCAGAGAGGAACCTCATGAGGTTCAATAAGGACAAGTGCAGGGTCCTGCACCTGGGGAGGAATAACCCCAGGCACCAGTACAGATTAGGGGTCGACCTGCTGGAAAGCACCTCCACGGAGAGGGACCTGGGAGTCCTGGTTGACACTAAGTTAACCATGAGTGAGCAGTGTGCCCTCGTGGCCAAGAAGGCCAATGGCATCCTGGCCTGCATCAGGAGGAGCGTTGCCAGCAGGTCAAGGGAGGTGATTCTGCCCCTCTACTCAGCTCTGGTGAGGCCGCACCTGGAGTACTGTGTTCAGTTCTGGGCACCCCAGTATAGGAGAGACGTGGAGCTTCTGGAGAGGGTCCAGAGAAGGGCAACCAGGATGATTAAGGGAATGGAACATCTCTCGTATGAAGAGAGGCTGAGCGAGCTGGGCCTGTTTTCTCTGGAGAAGAGACGGCTCAGAGGGGATATGATTAATATGTATAAGTTGAGGAAGGGAGAATGCAGGGAGGAAGGGGACAGGCTGTTCTCACTGGTGGCCAGCGATAGGACGAGGGGTAATGGCCACAAGCTGAAACACAAGAAGTTCCGTCTCCAGGTGAGGAGGAACTTCTTTACTGTTAGGGTGACAGAGCAGTGGAACAGGCTGCCCAGGGGAGGTTGTGGAGTCTCCTACTCTGGAGGTCTTCAAAACCCGCCTGGATGCCACCCTGTGCCACATGCTCTAGGTGTGCCTGCTTGAGCAGGAAGGTTGGACTAGATGATCTGTAGAGGTCCCTTCCAACCTTAAATATTCTGAAATATTCTGAAATATTCTGAAAGAGCCCATCAAGCTCCGCTGGCAAAACCTGAGGCTGAGGGCAGCACATCAGCTGGGACAACACGTTGGATTTTTGTGCTCAGTTCTTCTGCAGCTGGTTCAGCTCCCCGGGCTGCTGCACATCCAGCTATTTGGGGAATGCCAAGCGGGTGGGGGAATGCCACCCACCAAAGACATGCCCAGGGAGCAATGGTTTTGAAAGCCTCTGAAATAAGCACTTTGCTGATGAATATCTAACTGTCTTACATTAAAAAAAAAAAAAAAAAAAGAAAAGAAAAAAAGACATAACGAGGAAGACATAATGTCAGGCTTAGGAGGAAGACGTCAGATCATCAGATTAAGCTTAACAAAATGGTGTGGAAGAACAGAACAGTCTCCACCGGCAGCAGGGAACGTTCTCATGTTGGGAACACCTGAGGCCACCCTCTGACCAGTCACAGCCCAGAGTATAAAAGCAGGGCACAGAAGCCACCCTGGATCATGCCTGCTGAACTGAATCCATCTACCTTGCTTATCATCTCCTGAATGCAAACCAGAACTTCACAGAACTTCGAAACCTGCTCAGAGACTGGCAGCTGCCTTAATGCCTTCTCCTGAGAGGAGCAGAGGGACTGACCGAGGCCAGGCAGCCCCACAGCTGCAGAGAAACCTCTCCAAGTACCAGGAGTGACTCAAACACATCCTGCTTGGCAAAAACTACTCACTGCAGACCAGCTTTGGGTATTTTAAAGAAAAAGCACCCTGATACTCTAGGCTGACCTTGCATATCATATACAGAAAAATAACCTTATTTAATAATATATACCTTATTAAGTCTAAATCCATCTAGTGTCACCTTCAACGTACTCCAAATTCAAAGAGAGCCTGTTCCTATGCCATATTCTCTCCTTGCACTTGAAGCAAGGAATGTATATGCCTAGTTACTTACAATATTAACCTGTAGTAATTTGTCATGAATTTCACACAGAAATGACCTACAGTCTTTGTCACAAGGTTTATGAGAAGGTAGAACTACATAAAAATATTAAGACTTGAAGAGCAAGTGAACACTACCTGAATAATCCAAGTTTGTCTATGTATTTGTGGGAAAAAAAAAAAAAAAAAAAGTCCTGGAGACAGAAAGTGGAAGAAAATACAAACATGCAACTCTCTGGCAACCTCAGTGCAATTAAGTATTGCTTAATCATCATCAACTAATCAATTTGTTCTACTTGGCACAAACTATATTGCATAATTTTTTATACAAAGAATGCTTCCATCGTATTTGTCTATAATAAAACTATTGTACCTTTGTACCTTGTAAATAAGGTTGTATATATAAGGACTTCCAAGAAAAGAAAAGTTTCTTCGCATTAGTCACGCTACTATCTTCTGATATTGTATTAATTACACCTTACGTCAACTTCTCCATGACTTTGTCCAAGCCTAATTTCAGACCAGACAGATTACAGCTTCCACGATCACCCTGCTTTAGGATTTACATTTCTGTAACTTCCGGGATGTTAAATTTGCTAAAATAAATATAAGAGGAAGGAAAAAGTTTCTGAACTTCCTTTATTGTTCATACTCTGAAGTTTTTTTTTTTTTAATGTACAATTGTAGCTAATGTATTTGCTGACTAAGGACAATGGAATGTATAGAATGAAATAAAACTTACTCATATTTTAAACTGAAAATGAAATTTCTTTCAAATTAAAGGAGTGGAATAATTACTGAACACTTATGTCTTTCTGTATTACGGATATTTCTTTTACTATCCTTGCTTCAAGACTTGGAACTTGGATAACTGCTTTGAACAAGATTTCTCCCTCATTTGAAATATAAGTAAATAGAAGACCCTGCTATTTCCTTTCCATTCAAACTCCTTCTGTATTAGTTTCTTCCTTACCGCATTTACGTCCAGATATTCCAAATATCTCATTCTTCATTACAACAATTTTCTCACTTATTACCTGAGATATCTGCCATGGCTGTGAATTTTAGAGGAAGCTAAGAAAATACTAAATGTTTTATTTCAATTTTTTAATGTCTACATATTTCACAGTTCACACAGTTCAACTCATGTTTACTTATAGTTCTGGAAAACTGGTATTTTCAGCCATCAGCTGTATTTTTATAGGTTTTTGTTGTTGTTGTTGTTTTTAAATTAGCTACACTGTACAAAGTAGGCTGCCCATCAATAAACCTTGCTTCTGAATCAAAGCAACGTGTTGCCCTGTCTCTGTTATTAACAGTATTATAAACAAGTATCATTAACAACAGAATTACTACAGTTCAGCCCACAATCCCACAGCATCTGTGCAAATAAGATATGTGCAATAAGCCCTAACACAATCACATCACACCAAGTTGCATTAGGCTGATTAGAACAACAGTAAAAGTTGTTAGCATAGGTGATGGTCGATATTTATGGAAAACTACATGGGACTGGACTACTCTTCACCAAATTCCATACAAACCATGATTGTCATGTTCCCTTGTCTTTTTTCCATGTCTTTGGAAACAAAAACACTAGTAGGTACATGAACTTACAAAAGCAGAAAGAGGCAGACCTCTTAGGTGAGCAATATCCATCACTCAAAGCCTTACAGATTTCCATACTGAATACAAACAACTAGAAAGCCAACCCCCTTATCATCTTAAATTTAAATGTTTCCCATCTAAACAATAAAGATGAGAGCAGTTGCCACACACTTGATCTCATAAGGGTTTGGGTTACACTTGATAAACAAGTAGACACATGGGCAAACTGTTATGAAAGGGTCCACATACAGTTTTTAACATCATGTTGGCTTTTTAACCATCAGTGATGCACACACCACACATTAGTCCATCTCATTTCCCTACTTCCACTTCCCAAGTTCACTTGTCAGACAGTAAGGTCGTGTGCTTGGAGAAAGAGGGGTGGGAAAGGAAACTTGGGGGGGAGAAGCCTGGTTGGTCTTCTGAAATAAGCATCAGACAAAGCAGCATTCATGTTAAAACTCAGAAGTGACAACAATGAAAAAATGACATCCTGTGAAAAGACTAAATATTCTGATCTGCTCTAATTACCTACATAGAACAAGATCCAAAGAGACTTTCTACCCATCGAGACCTTCCACAATCACTGGAAGGGAGGAAGCTGTCAGTGAACCTGACGCTCTCTGAGACAAAGTGGAAGTGACAGAAGCTGAAGATCTGGCCTTATTTCACAAAAAAAGCATCATAACAAGAGTATATTCGGGAATCCACACCACTACCCAAGCTGCAGTCTAGTGGCTCACATGCAAAGCACAAGTGCACACAAAGGTCTATGGCCACGAGCCGCAATGGTGACTGAAAGCGTTCAGAAATTTTTGTAAAAGTCAGACAACCAAACCAATGAAATAGGTCTTTAAAAATAAATAAAAGCATCCTCTCAAAAAAACCACCCCAACTCTTCCTTCTTGTATCTAAAACAGAACTTAAAATACATTTCTCGAAAGCGTATGATGTTATTCTTGAATTTACAATTCAGCTTTGTTTTAGCTGTTGAGATTTAAGACAAACATGGCAACACGAGCCCAGCCTCAAACAGGCTCTACAATGCCACACACTTGTGTCCCCACATTCCTATTAACTTCCCCAGCGCCCATCTTCCTCCCTCCTAATGATTCCCCCAGAGGGATGGGTACAGCTGTTCATAGGAAAACATAGCAGAAAAAGAAATACAATAAATAGTTTTGAATCACTGTAAGATGAATAAATTTCATACTAGAACCTGAACCACTGGAATGTTTTGACTTTTTCGTTTTAATTGAAAAAAAAAAAAAAAAAAAAAAACCACCTCTCATTTTGTTACTTTGAGCTACAGCACAAACCAAGGGAAAACAGTGGCTTATTATCCCCATGCATTTGATTCTGTAGTGTCATGTTCATCTAATGACAGCCCACAGTGACATTCACCAGAAGCACTAACAAAAATGAACAACAAAAACAAGTCTTACCTTTTGGATAATCTTCCAATAAGAGGTTGAAGTGACCTAACTGACAAAAGAAATCAGACTCGACCTTTCCTTCAGCTTTCAATATTAGCGATTCATAGCAGCGAACAGCCTAGGAAACAGAAAAATAAGGTTTTCAAATTATTATATTTAATAGAAGAAAATACATTTTCTGAAAAATACAATTCTACCCAACTTTCTCGTTATTTTGCAAGGCAAGAAGTCTAGACACATGCATACACTAATCAGTCACCAGGATTACTTTCCAAACAACAAGACAGAGAATACCATGCTGCAAGTTCACTGATTCTAATACAAATACAAACCAAATAAAAATGAAAATTTTTCCCTTGCTTATTTGTGGATTCCAGAAGCACATGATTTCTCAAATATAAAACAATCTTTTACAACACATTATAAGCTGTTAATTTAAAAATCAAAGTACAAAAAGAGATTATATTCATTCTTTCCAATCTACAAAAAAAAATTACTTTGAGTAATTAAAACATTATTCTGTATTAAAACGTGTCCTTTTTCCTAAAGGACATTTTTGTTATATAATTTCAGTATTTATTGCTTAGCACAGGAACATACTGCCTTAACACATTTGTTTAAGCAATTGCTAAAACTTAGCAGAATTTCCCAAGATCTGATTCTTTTTACACATCTCTATCAAGTCATAAAAAACCCCATCATTTACTACCTCAAACTCACTAGGTAGTCACTGTAGACTCATTAAAGCTAACATTATAAACCTGAATCCAATTAGAAATGAATTTTGCTTTGAGGAAAGCTGCCCTAAACTTGGTGAGCAGCACCTTTAACATCCAAATATGTTCTGTGCTGCAAACAGACACTTGCAGTAATGCAAACTGATAGCTGCTATTAATCATGATGGTCAAAATCTTTACCAATCTGTACTCTTGTCTCATTATCCTAGTCATAGGTTGGGTAAAGAAAACAGCAACAACAAGTCTCTTGTAACTTTTGCAGCTTCTAATCAGTTTTTCAATTTTGAATCAATCATTAAAAAAGTCATTAAAGTAGCAAACTAAACTCAAATGGAAGGGAAGGGGTTTTGCAACAGCAGAAGACTTGCTGTCCTCAAAACCTGGTAATAATTCTAATGAATTCTAATTCCAGCCGCTTAATCAATGACTTTTACCAGTTCAGGTTTTGACTATGTTTAGAATTTAGCTGCAATTAGGAACTGCTTGATTTTAATGTACTATTACTAATTAAAAGCCTTAAGATTAAATTAAAAATGATGAGCGCTGCCAGGTCATTTTATTTAAGCGGAAATTCAGAGGGAGGGAAGAACACTTAAAAATCCCTTCTACAAGGGATAAATTTGAATACCACCTTAGTCCTTTCGTCCAATTACTTCACTGTCTGCACTAACCATCAAAATAGAGAATGCCAATAAGGAAATGTTTAAAAAAAAAAAAAAAAGGAATATCTGCACAAAATCACAAAATATAAACTCCTGACTTAAACTGTATTTTAAGGTTATTGTTTTTCCGGAAACTGCAGGGCCCGAGGCAGGCCTTGCTGTCCTGGCCGGACACAGGCAGCGCACGCGGCCGCGCGAGCGGGTCCCAGGCCGCCTCTGGCGCTGCCCACGCACTGGGTGCCCGTCAGACGCCGCCTCCCCAGGCACAATGGCCCTCGCTTGCAGCTGCTTCCACAAAGGGGAGTTTTGACAGGTAAAACCAATGCTTTGCTGTAGCACTACTGCAGCAAAGTGGATAACATCTATATTAAATCTGTATTCTCTGTGTGGTATTAAAGTGATTTAATAAGACCATTAACATTATGTATTTCAAACCATAGGTTTTTGTCTGTGTTTTTTAACTTATACGGAGATGCGTATTTGCCTTCACATCAAAAAAATATATATATTGCTTAAGATAGATGAACCTCCTTGCTTCTGGTAGGCTACAACAGGGGAATTTTTCATCCCTGCCACAAGTTTTGCCTCAGCAAACTGCACTGAAAGGACTAGAGCCTTGCTGGCAGTGAATCAAAGCTACCTCTGCCTCTCCTTTAATTTCATTCCCCCCACTGTACATACATCCTGAAGTCAGTCAACTCTCCACTAAAAGAAATTATATCCCTGGAACCAGAACCAAAGCACCGAAGTCAGAGATGAATTTCTTAGAAGAAACTCCTTGGTTATCACATAAGTTTGAAGAAATTCTCCACATGCAGGCTCATGCGTGGAACTTATTCCCTTATCTGCAGATGTTTAAATGTGTAATCTTTTCCCGTGTGCTTTGCTTCCTCTCCCACTTTTTGGTCTCATCTCTGGATTTGTACAAATCTAACATAAATTCATGCCGGTGCCTCTAGCATTACTGTCACAGATATAATTTGCAGATAGGCCTTCCATTTTCGGGTAATATGAAATACCTGCTCTATCTGCCCATAAGAATATTCACATTATGACACTTCCTGATATGAGTGTATTGTCTTGGTTGTTCACTCACTGCTTAGAGAATACAGAAACTGCTAGCACAACAGGGAGCTTATAAAATCCGCTGGGCAGGAATTTTGCAGGGTTTATTCCCTTAGATTATTACAGGTATCTGAAGGAGTGAGGAAAAGAGAGGTTTTTTTGAACAAACACCGTCAGTTTTCTGTAGAGAAAGAACCTAAGGATGCTATAAACCATAAGCACTTAAACAACTAAACATCTGAGCACGTTTAGTGCTGCCCTGCCTATTTTCAAGGAGGATTTACTTGAAACGGCGCGTCGCTCGTGTCTGAAATACTACCCCAGGTGGTCACACAGGGTGAAGCCCGACTCTTCCACACACCTCCCATCAACCATGAGCAAGGCAGATTTTCCTTTTCCCCGCTGCGTGCAGGACCCACGCCGAGGCGCGAGCTGAGCCCTCTGAGCTGCAGCTACCACAGCTGCAAGAGGGATTTGCAGTTTGGCAGACACCACAGCAACTTCGCTGCACTGCGAGGTACGGTCTCAGCTGAACGCTGAGATACTTGAGATATTATTGGAAAACCACTTGAATTTAAGCTAGTATTGTGAAGGTTACTCTCCATGAATTTTCAAAATTCTTCTAGCATGTTCTAAAAACACAGAAGAGAAACGTAAAGCAACAGCCTGTCCTGCTTTGCAGCCTCAGCAGGAACACCAAAGCCGACCTCTCGCGTCTCCTGAAGATTGAGCACAACAGTCACTGCAAGACTTCTCGGTTTCTTCTCTGTAGCTCAGTTCTAGTTGAGGAACTTTCCTCTCATCAACCCCCTCGACAAGTATCTCTGTCTGACTGGCTGCTTCCGTTAATTGAAGGAACTGATGCAAAGCGTTTTGAAAAGGGAGCTTACCCCTACAGATATATATAACTGTATATAGAGTCCTTGAGCATATGCTCAAACACACGGAAGATCTCATCTCTTTGGATCTATAACTGCAAGGAACATCTATGGGACCACTCCTGCAGCCAATTTAAATCAATGTCATGCACAAAGCTTTTAAAGAAGTTAAAAAAACCCAAACTTATTTCTGAGTCTTATTATTTCTCTATATTGTACAGATTTTTTAAGTACCCTCAATGGAGCCTTGAGAACTGCTAGCATTGTAACAAGGAGAAAGCCCCTGAAATGAAAAGGAAAACTGCTATACACCATCACACACTTCCTTCGCTTTGCAGAACACTGCTTGAAGCAAGGGGCAACCTGAAATCTTTTAGAACTTGGTAAAAAAAAAAAAAAAAAAAAAATCACCGGCAGCCGCTTCGCAGAGGGGTAACTAGAGCAGAAGCAGGAAACAAACACAAGAGCGGCTGCAGGAAAAGCAGCCACAGCTTACATGAAACAAAAATAAAGAAATAGAAGCCTGTCCTGTCTGTCCTCTGCTTGATGAAAAGCTGAGCGAGGCAGCACACCACAGCCGACACTTACAAGGAGGTGGTTATAACCTCGCCCCTTTCATGACGTCACAGCCAGTTACCATGGAAATTCCCAACTCAAACTCCCCGAGCAGCGCCAGGAGAAAACCAGCTCCTTTTAATGGAGCCGCCAACTTGGTCAGAGCCTGCAGGAGATACCTGAGTGGCCACGAAAAATGAGAACGCCATAAGCATCTACAGAAATGGTCCACCAAATCCCCCCTATGTTCCTTGCTTATTGTTGCAAAGGGAAAATATGAAAGGAATATTTACGAATATTATTTCCCTCTTCTCTCGTAAGAACATTGAATGAATTTTCTATACATTAACATACACTTTCCCAGAGAGAAAAGGGGAAAAAAAAAAGATGCAAACTTCAAGAAGCAACTGCCAGCTTGGGCAGCTATCAATGGGACTTCCCATGATGAGGAAAAGGCCGCATGATTTTGGAAGGCCACATCATGTAAAAAAAAAAAAAAAAATCCAGCAGATAAAAACAGAATTCTTAGTATTCTAGGTCAAAGCCATTGATATGTGTTACAGCTCTATTTCATGAAGGAGAATTATGTTATTTATGCATCAGTAAGGTGGAGAAAAAAAGAAAAAAGTCCCATCACCCCCACTTTTGTCACATTTATTACTTGTATTTTAAAGTACACATTCAAATTACTGATAAATAGTTTTATTTAAAAATGGGAAAAAGTTAACGCTGTAACACTCCTTTACTCCTGAGGAGCATAATTAACTAAGAATAAAGGAGGACTAAATAGCCAAGCATGACAAAATACTAACAATTAAGTCTTTAATATAGTAACAGTATGAAAATAGAGGCGCATTCCAAGACAGCAAAATTTTTACTTAAGGCATAGAAATCATACATATGACTAGCAAAGAAGTGGAGAAAACCAAAAGAAACTTCTTTTTTCATAGAAAACCAAAGAACTAGTAATATAAATGGTCTGTTCCTGACGCATATCATGTATATCTTCCAAACATGACTTCCTAAAATTACTACATGCTAACTCAGCCGTAACTTGAAGATACAGTTGTTAAAAGCATCCCTCTCAGTACGACAGGGAGAGTAGGAGAGAGAAGTGAATGAGCCCAGAGTAGAAATAAGATCGAGGTTGGAGAACCTGAGGTTGGAGAGCTTGAGTGACAACTAACAAATAAGCTAGTGGACAGGTAAGCAGCACAAATTCAGT